GATTTTATTTATTTATTTATTCATGAGGAACACAGAGAGAGAGAGGCAGAGACACAGGCAGAGGGAGAAGCAGGCTCCATGCAAGGAGCCTGACATGGGACTCGATCTCGGGTCTCCAGGAACTCACCCTGGGCTGAAGGCGGCGCTAAACCGCTGAGGCACCCGGGCTGCCCTATTTCACTCTTTCTTATGCAATTGTAAATGGATTTGTTTTTTATTTTTTATTTTTATTTTTATTTTTTTTGTTTTCTGTTTTTTAAAGATTTTATTTATTTATTCATGAGAGACAGAGAGGCAGAGATAAAGGCAGAGGGAGAAGCAGGCTCCATGCAGGGAGCCTGATGGTAGGACTCTATCCCAGGACTCCAGGATCACGCACTGGGCTGAAGGCAGGCACTCAACTGCTGAGCCACCTGGACATCCCTAAGATGCTTAATTTTCATCCATGGGTTTCATTCAATGTATCTAAAAAAATTTATTTTATTTATTTATTTCAGAGAGAGAGCACATGAGTAAGGGAGAGGTAGAGGGAGAGGAAGAAGGAGCAGCAGACTTCCCGCTGAGTGTGGAGCCTAACGTGGGGCTCAGTCTCAGGACACTGAGATCATGACCTGAGCCAAAGTCAGAAGCCTAGCCGATGAAGCCATCTAGGTGCCCCTAAAATTTTGTTGATGAGCTTCAGAACTTTCCAGTTACATTTTAAGTCAGGTTATTGAGGTATCATTTACACACAGTAAAATTCAACTTTTGTAGTGTACTCAAAAATTCTGTGGCAAAATACATAGAACATAGAATTTACTGTTTTAACCTTTTTAACCACGTATCATTCAGTGCTCATCACAAGGGCACTCTTTAATACCCATCAGCTATTTAGCCCATCCCTTCACACCACCCCCCTTCTGGTAACCATCAGTTCTCTATAATTAAGAGTCAGTTTGTCTTTCTTATTTTTTCCCCTTTGCTTGTTTTGTTTCTTAATTCCACTTATGGATGAAATCATAGGGTAATTGTTTTTCTCTGACCTATTTTGCTTAGCATTATAGCTTCACTCATGTCGTTGCAAATGGCAAGATTTCATTTTTTGTGCTGAATAATATTCCATTGTGTAAATATATATCACATCTTTATCCATTCATCAATTGATGGACATGTGGGCTGTTCCTATGACTGGGCTGTTGTAAATAATGCTACGATAAACATGATAAACATAGGGGTACATGGAATTGTTTTCTTAATTTCCCTCTCTTACCTCATTATTAGTGTATAGAAATGTTAGGTTTTCTTCTAATGACTGGTGGAGAAAATTAAAGACAGCAGAGCCAGGCAGTAGGTTCGAGAGTGCTTTAATGGGGAACACTCCTGGGCAAGGTTCTGTCACTCGAGAGGCAGGGAAGTCACAGCCAGGCAAACCGCAGGGGGAGTTTATAAAGAGTTTTTGGCGGGAAGATGGGGGCAGGGCAGCATTTCGATTAGGGCAAGGGTTACAGGTCTTTGTAAGCTAAATTAGGGTAGGGCGGCTAGGCAAGGCAGTGGCAGGGATGATGGGGGTGGGGCAGCAAGGCAGCTTTATTGGGAGGTTGCTGGCCTGGGGTCGGCCGTTTTGAGGTCCCCAGTCTCACCAGCCCAACAAGAAACACAACCAATTTCTGTATATTTTGTGTCCTGGAGTTTCACTGAGTTCACTTATTCTAATAGTTTTTTTTGTAGTCTTTAGGGTTTTCTAGGTAGGGTATCATGTCATCTGCAAATAGTGACTGTTTAACTTATTCCTTACTAGTTTGTATACCTTTTATTGTCTGATTGCTGTGGCTAGAGTGAACATCCTTGTGCTCTTCCTGATGGGGAAAGGTTTCAGTTTCTCACCATTCAGTATGATTTTGGCTGTGGTTTGTCATATGTGGCCTTTATTATGTTGAAGTATGTTTTCTCCAGACCCACTTTATTGAGAATTTTTATCATAAATGAATATTGGATTCCTTAAATGCTTTTTCTTAATGTATTGAGATGATCATGTGATTTTTAGTTATTTTGCTTATGTGGTATTTCACATATTGATTGATTTGCAGATATTGGACCATCCTTGCATCCTAGGAATAAATCCCACTCCAGCAGACTCTGCACTGAGCATGGTGCCTGACATGGGATGGGGCTCAATCTCTTGACCTGAGATCATGACCTCCCCTGAAACCAAGAGTCAGATGCTTAACTGACTGAGCCACCCAAGTGTGCCCCCCCCAACTGATTTTTTTTTTTAGCAATAATTGAATTTACTACTTTTGTCTTCTAATCTTCATACTAACTTCATAAGTAATTGCTCTATTACCTTTAGTGTATGTTTGCTTTTTTTTTTTTTATGTGAAAGTTTTTCCTTTCCTGATTTTCTAATTATGGCCTTTTCTTTTGCACTTAAAGGAGTTTCTTTAGAAAGTGACTTTTTTCTCTGGGTACTTTTATGATTTTCTTTTTTTTCATTGATTTTTTTCCCCCCCAAGATCTTATTTCTGCTGTGTCTTGATGTGGTTCATGTATATCATTATCCGCTTAAGGCTTTTTATTGAGGACTTGTTATCAGGGGTTAATGGTTGACAGCTTAGAAAATTGTGGTCATTATTTCACTTTTTTTTTTTCCGTTACTTCCTTTCAGTACTCCGGGGGAGAGGCAGTGGGAGAGGAGAGAGAATCCCAGGCAGACTCCATGATATGGGGCTCAGTCTCACACCCCTGAGATTATAACCTGAGCCAGAATCAAGACTCAGATGCTTAACTGACTGAGCCACCAAGGCACACGTTTATAGCTTCTTTCTCATCAGAATTCCACTTTGCAACTTCCACTCACCCCAACCTCCCTAAATTCTGATCCTGATCTCTTCCATATGGCATTTATGATTTCCCTCTGTACTTTAATTTAGGTAAAAATTTAGGTAAAAAAAATGCCTCTACTTGGAAAGCTAGGTGGCTTGTAGATATCACACTTCTCTCAAAGATCACAGTTGTGTACTATTACGTGATGTTTAGTATTTGAGACCATTCTTTTTAATTTGTTCAGTTTCCTAATTTTTGATTTTTGCCTGTGTCTTATGAATTGATATCTGATACTTTCTTAATATTTCTTTTCCATATTTATTTTTCTGTAGGAAATACTAGAATCAGCTTGTTCACTTTAAAAAATCCTTTTTCTGTTTAAGGTTATCATGTGAAATGCATAGATTACTGTAGGGAGAACTAATGTCTTTGGAATATTGAACCTTGATAGGTATATTAGCATATAGCTTCTTAATTCATAATTTTAACCTATAAAGTTAATATCTGTGTATTGCTATTTTATTGTGACTTTTTCTAAAAATAGTTTTCTCATGCCTTTTCCTTTAGTATGCAAGTAGTCATGATTTTTTTAGCCTGTGTGGTGATTTATATGTATACCTTTTTCTAATATGCAACCTCTTTATAAATTTCTGGTGTGAAACCTCAGTCACATGTTTTAGTTTTGATTTTTATATAGATTCTTGGATTACTTTTGATTGCTTTAAAGATTTGTTTTTTATTTTATTTATTAGAGGAAGGGAGGAAGGGAGAGAGCAAGAGCCACAGAGAGCGGCAGAGGGAGCCAGAGAGGGAGAGAAGCAGACTGTTGAGTGCAGAGCCTGAGCCCAATTATGACCTGAGCTAAAACCAAGAGCAGGCTGCTTAACTGACTGAGCCACCGAGGCGCCCCTACTTTTTGATTGTTCTAAAATTCAAATTCCTAGCTTTCTTTTTAGAATCCTTAAATATAACAGACTTTGAAAATTTTTGAAAATGAAATAATTCTCAGAATGCATGAGATATATGCATCATTGTGGTAAGTAGGGAGACCACTTTTAGAACTGTAATATTTATTGTACAGTTGACCCTTGAACTGTGCTGGGATTTGGGGGCATCAACCCTTACGTTGTTGAAAACTGCGTATAATTTTTGACTCCCGGCAAAGTTAACTACCGTATTTCTAATATATTATGTATTTTTTTACCCCACCCGTTACAGATGTATTTTATATTGATTGAAAGTGGGAAGTTGCCAAATGACAATAAGCAAAGGGAGGGCAGAAAAAGGTACCGGGTAGGCTGAACATCAGGACTCTCCCCTGCTTTCAGCATTCCTCATCCCACTACCTGTGTGCAGGGTAGTTCACTGAAGCTGTGAGCTGAGAGGCAGTGAAGGAACCAGCTCTGGAGAGGGATTCTTGCTGAAGTGGCAGGGCCAGCCACTGATCATACTTGGCCAGGGATCTCAGAAGGATACCACGTCACCAGTGGGGCTGGGAGGACCCCAGGGTGACAAGAGGAAGCCTGCAATGCAGAGCAGACGGCAGGGAGGGGTGCTGTCCACCAGCCTGAATGTTCTTCAGGTTGGTGAGCTAATACCCCAGGGATCAGCGGCTCACCTCTTGCCAGCGTGTCCTATCGGCGGAAGCTGCCTTAGAGCCATGTAGGAAGCCAAGTGGATCAAGCCATCCTAGAGAGATGGAGGAGTGCTCCACCTTCCCTAAGATGTTGCATAGAAGGAAGTTTTCTGCATTTCTGGGTAGTGGACAAGGAGGAGGTGTTACTCCAGGATCCAGCTTCGCTAACTTTGGATGGGGATGAGGAGACACACGGTACCTCATTTGGCTGTACCATAATTACGGACCAAAATCCGTGTATAAGTAGACCACCAGTTCAAACCTATGTTGTTCAGGGATCAGCTGTACTAATGTTTGTTTTGGCTTCAAAATTATTGTTAAGAGAATCATTTTGCGCTGTTCATCTTGCTTCTATCACAGGAATGTTTTTGACAAGGAGATGTAGAATTCTTTGTTGTTATTAAATTTCAAGCAAATGTGCTTGTGTTAGAACATTCATGTTGAAGCTGTTCTGTGGTCTAGAGTTATCAGAAAAAAAAATATAACCACCTCACTTGTCTCTGCATGGACCTGTCTCAGTTCTCACTAATGCAGTTACATGAGGTGTTTTCCCTCTTAACAGGTTCATTTTAACTTGCAGTTTACAAAACCAAATACGTCACTAGGAGATGTTCAGTCAGGAACAACCATTAGTATGCCTTGCTCAACTGATAAGGAAAAGTAAGTATTTGTTGGCATAAAATTTAATGTTTGTAATTTTGAAGGTCATCTTAAATAATTTTTATCAGTGTTTGAAAACTTTGCCCAACTAATTCATTTGTGACATTGTAAGTTGCTGATCAGTGAGATTGAAGCTGAATTCCTTTTATCCATAAGAGATATCCCATATTTTTTTTAAACTGTACGATACAGTTTAACATACAGTAAAATTTATTTTTTAAGAGAAGGTTTCCTATGTAACTGAAGAGCTTACCTTTCATATGCTTTTGGGCAGGTAGATAGAAATCTTACTCCTTTTTCTGTGGTTTTTGTTTTTGTTTTCTTGTGTGGCTGTGTCTGCTTCTGAAGCTCTCCATCTTTCTGAATTAATGCTTCCGTTGTAAAGTACTCTGAGAAGCCAGCTATTGTATTTTAACTTTTTAATTTTTTAAGGACTTCATGACTTCAGAGAGAGAGAGAGAGAGTACACGTGCAGTGTGGAAGGTAGAGGGAGAGAAGCGGACTTCCTGCTGAGCAGGGGGTCTGACACCTCCACCCCAGGACCCTGAGATCATGACCTGAACAGAAACCGAGTCAGACCCTTTACCGACTGAGCCACCCGGGTGCCCCAGAAGTCAGCTATTTTAAACTGCTAGAATTCTTTGCTAAGAATAACAAGGTTGTGAGATTAATACCTACCAAAGTAATCTTTAATTTGTGACTTGTTTTGCCTATTCAGAAATGGCTTCCTATTTTTTAGATCTTACACAAGTTTTACAGAGTGAAGTTTGTTGCATCAGTGAGTTGTGACTAAATTAAACAACTCATGGAAACCTGTCTCTGGGTAGTCGCTCTGGTACATTAACAGATGTTTGTAATATTTTTTTATTCTTCTTACTTAAAATTTAATCACGTTAAGGCCTGTCTGCTGACAACTCATTATCAGTGAGCTATTCTCATTCCAGTATATTGCAGAATAAGTGACTAACAGTTCTTATCCTAATTCTCCGGCTCTTATTTATTGGCTTCTTTAAAATTGGCACCAACATGAGTATTACACTAGTTCTTGAGCCTCTCTTTTAAGAAAGCAGAATTCTTTGAAGTCTTGAAGTGTATGTATTCTGTTTATTTTCACATTTGTTCAGCAGGCAGAGCATCTGGAATTCATGTTAATGATTGAATGCCAGGTTTATGTATTTAACTCTGTCATACTTACCAAGAGCAGTGTTACTTGCAGAAAATATCTTTGTGGTACAAAATCAAACATAATCATGTGTCCATAAAATTAGTACTGTTCAGCTGTTTTGAGTATTTTCGGTTGATAATTGTTTTTTTCCGTTATTGTCATCTAGGAGAAAGTGGCAGTGGGTATCAAAGGTTGAAGAAGAAAAGTTAAAATTGAGGGCAACACCTTTTTACCCAATTAATTCTTTTCTGAAAATTAGAAAAAGACCATTTAAATTCTTGTTATAAGGAACTACTAGAGAAAGGAATATGGTGGTGGAAAGGAGAAAAACACAACTACATAAATGCCCCCCATGCTTTTCCAAAATTTTGTATTTGTATTCATCTGACTAGAATTCATTATTTTAATAGTGCATATTAATAACTTTGAAGTAGTATAAAATTTTGAAGAGCTTTTGGCAAAGGAAAAATATTTTTTATTTTTTTAAAGTAGGCTCCACACCTAGCGTGAAGCCCAACATGGGGCTTGAATTCACAACCCTGAGATCAATACCTGAGCTGAGATCAAGTCGGAGACTTAACCGACTGAGCCACCCAGGTGCCCTTACTCGTATTCTAAATATGAGATGAGATAGAAATTATTAAGTAGTAAGGATATTCTTGAAGCATGAAAATGTGTTTTCATTCATCACGTATCACTTATGCACTACTGTCTTAGTTTCATAGTACTAGAGTTTCCATTTCCCCTATATTCTTTATCTTAGCTCTTCAATTTAGTAGTGTTATTATACTGCTTAGGGAAGAAGGGTACTTTGGCTTATGGATAAATTACTTAAGAAACCAGTGAATGATTTTTGAACAAAGCTATAAAGTTATATCTATTTTTATATATGTGTATCTATAGATTAGATAAACCTTCAAAAATACCTATTAAAGTGAAAATAAGTCTTTATTAGAATAAATACTATTTTCCTTTCAAGTGGTGCAAATTTAGGGCTGGAATCCAAATACCTGAAGAAAAGGGAAGATAGCATTCCTTTACGTGGGCTCAGCCAAAACCTGTTCAATAATCCAGGTGAGAAGACATTTCTGAAATGGATTTTATGCTGTGGTTTGACCATATTATATAAAAACTTGTGAATACAAATAATCTTTTTCTGTCCTTATTTGCAGACCATCAAAAAGATGGCACTTTAGGAGCCTTACAGACCTCTTCAAAACCCGCAGTGCTCCCTTCTCCATCTTCAGCATACTTCCCTGGGCAGTTAACAAACAGTTAATGCTAGTGTTATCTTTTTACTTTTTATTGAACTTTTAGAAATCCCCATGGTTTAAAAATAACATGAACAGATCCTAAGCCAGCAAGTTTCAAAGTTTGAGATTACTGTATTAGATTGTTTGGATCCTTTTTAAAGTACTGCTGTTGTCTTATGGCAAGCTAGAGGAGCCAGTTTTATACTTGGTGGGCTTGGAGTGAAGATTCTGAGTAAATGACACTTTAGTTTGGAACATGGTATTTTAAAATAATAGTAGGAGTTTTATTAAATGAGTCCTTAGAAATTCTCAAGTTCCAAGGAAAGAGTTGATCCTAATAAGGGACATTCTAGTCATATTGAGTATATAGGTAAATGAAAACCTGCTCAGACATAATATGAAGCCAAAGAATGTTAATAATTCCTTTATTTTCATTGGTAAAATAAAAGTTTTAAATTTGACATCTGAAAATTATGAGGGAAAATGATTACCTCCAAAGATATCTGTATTATTGATATTTACAGTAAAGGGAAAAGTCCTAAAATTACCTTCAGTGAATGAAATTAATCCTTCATAGCAAGTAAATATTTTCCTTGTTAACATCTTTAAATTAGCTATTGAACAAGTCTACTAAGTAATTTTGATAAATTATAAAAATAATTTGGACAATGTATTTTTATGACCAGATTAGGTATAAAGTGCTTTTAAATCATTTGAGTTGCAAAGTTTATACGATTTTAATGCTTACTGGAAAGTCCACACTCACCTGGTTTTTCTTTCTTTGGAGTTTTATTAGTTTGTTATGCAGTTAAATCTGTATTAGTGGAATGTTTTAAAAATTAGTACTAAATAAGAACATCATGAATATTGTATTTATAATATTGGAGCAGGTTCATTTTAATGTTTGCTTAATAAAGTAGGCAAAATAAGTAACTGTTAAAGTTACTTTTTTCTCTCTCCTGTAACCAGTTTCAAGTAAGAAGTATTTGTAAAAAATTAGGTTAAAAAAATTTCAACCAATCAAGGGATCCCTATTTTGTTTTGTTGTTTATGACCACCCAATACAAGTGGCATTCTCTTAAGAAACCTATAGATCAGTTTTTGCAAAGATTGCTAACGCTCATGTGATATTTAAAAAGCTCTTTTTAAGAACTTTACTACACAGAGGAGACATTCAGTATATTAATACCAATGTCACTGGGTTCATGAGAAGACAAAGAATCTAGTTATTTGCTAATATTTTTCTGAGGCCACAGTATAGAGTCTTATGATACGTTGAAACTCTGCTGATAGTTGCAGTCTTAACTAGGGGGGTTTATCCTAAAAAATTTAGTAACTCTTACTGGGCAGTGACTTTAATATATGAGTATTAGTAAGAATACTTGGTTACAGTAACTTGAAAGTACTTACTAATAATCTGGAAAGTAGCCTCTTGATGATTTTAGAATTTTTCCTGTAAATATTATGTAATATATATAAAACATTGTGACAGGGTTTGGATGGGATTTATGACATACAGGGAGTTCTTTTTTATTTGAAATTGTTTTGCAGTTCTGCAGTGTACAGTTGTACATGTGTTAATAATCACAAGGTTGCACTTAATGTATTTCTGTAAACTGAGCTTTGTTAAATAAAGTATTTATGGAGTATGACGTGTATATAAAAACAAACCGGATTGATCTGCAACTATTGACTGTGCTTAGAATTTAAATAATTCCGTTTAATTTCATTTTGTCTTCCTACAGGAGTATTTTGTAGTGAGAGAGAAAAAAAGGGGATTGAAAGGAGAAAGGTGTAAAGCTTTGATTTGTTACTGTAAAAACGATTAAGGTAACAAATAAAGCCAAAACAGACCTTACAGAGGGAATCACAGATCAAGACTTTCTTTTAAAAAAAAATCATTAAAATATTTAATTTTATTAACAGAATATTTACATTTAAGACCTTATTTAACCATAGTGAATGTTCCAAGTTTAAAAAGCATTGAGCAATAACCACACACAAGATGAAAACAGTGTAAACTATACAATACTTTATGTACAATTTTTACAAAGTAACACTTTTTTAAATAATATAACTGGACACAAAAATATACACTTTAGAGAAATTCACATCAGTAATTGTATAAAGCTCTCTTCTAGGGTCCTGAAAATTTAGGACAAACATTAGCTCTGTAAATAAAGTGTTACTGTGACAGTCCTGAAAGGCCACTATATATATTTATCTACATATAGATATCACATTGACATTTTCAAGGCTACCAGCTTTACTATATAATTTTTAGATTATGTATTCAAGTGTTGAGGTTCTTATGATTATGCAAACATTAAAAGAACAGTGGTATAAGTAGCTGGGGAACAGATTCGAGCCAGCATTTAGATTTACAGACTCTACCCCAATTTAAATTCTAAATGGCTGATATTTTCTCATTTCAAAAACAGTGGTGAATATTTAAAATAAAACTACTACAAACAAGCTTGAAACATGATTCAGATTTAGTACAATTTTCTTGAGTGTTTTTTTTTTAATGCAAACAATTCATTTACCATTTCTTTACTTTAGTACATCTGCATTAAGGCTTTGAATTATTTGACCCAAGATTTTACAATGTTAAAACGAACAGGTGCATAACCGTACTACGTACTCTGTCTCGCTGTGAGTCAGCATAAATAAAGTTAAAGCTCAACACCTGAAGGAAATGGTAGCAGAGACGTTGCTAGTATCTAAGAAGGTACGTATATAGTTTTTAATTAAAGGATGTATAATAAAACAAAAAGCTTAGTGGCAAGAAATTGGTGCTAATAAACAAAAGGTTTCTTTTCAAAAGAAATTGTAACATCTTTGGAAAACTGTCCGGTTCTGGTTCTTTCTTTAGTTCCCACGGAGTTCATGCAGATACATTTCTTAAGACAATCTTAAAGTACATTGTAGATGGAAATGGAATGTACATCCAGAACTATAGGTGAAAACTAAGACCTGGGTGTGATAGAAAAGTCTTCCTGATTTCGGTCATCACACGTTTGTGTCCTGGAGTAAAGGTTCTTTGGCCTCTCCTGGCGCTTGTGTACTATGAGGATGGCTGTGACTGCCACAGTGCTTTCTCCAACTGCTGGACCGTAAGCTTAAATTGGTATGTTCTGGAATAAACAAGGCAACAAGCAGAGCCAGCAGTACGGAACAGGCTCCAAAGAGGAAGGGGGGGCCAGGGATGATCGAATTCTGAGGAAGAAAAAGATAATTAGGATTTTCACGCAGACATCTCTGCTCTTAAGAAACTGCTTATCCTGTAGTAATCCCAAATTACTATGAATTCTAAGCCAAGATCCTCTCTTTCTTCATCAGAGCCAAAGTTAGAAAATGCATTTGCTTTTCAGGAGAAAAGGGACACTGTTAGACTCTCACTATAAAATTCTGAGGATAACAACTGATCCAAGGAACAGAGCCAAAAGATTTTTTTTAAAAACAGCCAATGCAAAAACAGACTGTCAGTTGCAGCACAAAATCTGAACACATCCTCTGAGCCTTCACCTCATTAGCTCAACAGGAAGACCTCAAAAATTAAGTAGCACACACTGTTAACTACAGTAGCAGAATCTGTGACCGTTTTCTTTGTTTGAAAAGCTAAATATATTCTCTAGTAACTAATAAGTGAGGGAAACACACAGCTAATGCTGTTAACATAAGAATCAAAAAGGCCTTTGTTTTAGCCCAAAGTTACATTCATTCTTAGCAAAAACTTGCACAGCCAGTCTAACCTGTGTACAGCCCACAAACATTCTATTTAAAAGTAGTCTTAGCTGGCTAGAGGATCAGGGTGGCACTCTGCTAAACAAGCAAGGAACTGAGGCACTGTTTGTATTGGCTAAAATGAGGATGTCTGCCGTTAATATTCAGTTGTACAGCAAACAAGTGAACAAAAATGGTCATTGGCACCTAACTGACTTTTCCTACAGCAGGCAGGCTTCCCACAGGGCACCTGTGTGGTACGGAAGCATCCGGCGATAGACAGCAGCACAGGCAGGCGGCAGGCGATGAGCAGCTGGCTGTTGCCAGTGCCGCGGGGCGTACCGTTGCAAACTAAAATATCTAAGTAATTCTTACATTCTCGGAGGGAAAAAGCAGGTACAGCTGATTGCAAAAAGGGGCATAGAGGGGAGCACGGTCCCTTCGGCTTTGGTTTTTAAGTGTTGCAGATCTAAAATCTCCCATAAAGTTAGTGACCCAAAACCCTTTATCTTTCGGTCCAGCCAAATGAACTATATTTTTTTGTCACATGAGTGAAGAATTACCTGTTCAAAGTGGTGCTGTGGGCTTGTGTTGGTTCCCAAGTCTGTTCCTGTCATGGGCAGTTCTTTAAGTTCCACATGGAATATGTAGAAAATGAATCCATAAAGAGCTGGTCCCAGACCATTGCACAATCCTCGAATTCCTGTTATCATTCCTTGGACAACACCTAAATTGTTTACACAAATTCTGTAATGCACCGCTAATTTTTATCCCAGTACAAACTGAAGTCACTGCAAAACCAAACCTCTAAGCAGACACTAGCAGTTTGCCAAGATGGCATTAAAAAGTATTTAGAAGCTATCAGCTTTACCAAGTAAACGGATACAAATGTGAGATGAGGTAAACCCGACCTATCTGGACGTGAAGACCCCATTAAATCAAGTACAGAGTTTGAGTTATGCTTTTCTCAAATTTAAAATGCAATTTGCTTTGGCCACAGGCCTTTCCTTCCTCATTTATCAACCAAGTGATCGCTGCTGCTCTGTTGTAACACCCCTTTCCTTCTTTATGATTAGATAAAACACATCCTCTTCAAAGAATTATCTGTTAGCGCTTTGAGAATTAAATATTCCTAACACAAAAGCCTAAGATAAAAATGTTTTCTTTAGATGTCTTTAGATAACTGAAACCAAAGATCCAAATAAAAGGGGGAGTTAAGTCCAAGGTGTCAAGCACATCATAGTAAACACAGTGAATATAAGGTGGCCAACCTGCATCAGTAGATTTTCTAGCAAAAACACGAGCCCCGTTTTCAGAGTGAGGGACATGGTTCTATACAGCCACCTGAGGACAGTACCCCGGCATCAGCTTTTCCTCTTAACAGTGAAAGCAATTTTAAAATCTTTATTCTGAAGGTAGACTTACAATCCTGTACTTAGGAGGGAGACAGAACATATAATCAGAATATTCTGGGCTTTTAAGTATCATGGGTTCTAACCAACTCACCTTGTTGATCAGCATCAGCAGTTCGTGAGACAAGGGCACTGACGGCCGGGAAGGTAATGCTGGACATGGCTGCTACCGCGCCAGCAGCCCACATCATCCTGTAACCAAACAGCAAAACAAAAGTACGTTCTCCACTGTGCCAGTCCGTCAAAATGCATACCTGAACCCAGGCAGCTGTTCCTGCAGGATGGCTGTGGTCCGGGCAAAGGAGAACTGCACTTGGCTTCGTCCTTCCCTTCCTGTGGAACTCCGGGCAGTCACTCCAAGGTCTGAGTGGTGGGGGATGGGAAGTGCGCCCAGAATAACACGCGGGACGTGCAGTACACCCAGAACCCTCGTTGCAGGTTTCCCAAGCCTGCGAGAACCTGCACGCCGTGTTCCCCCAGACTTGTGATTCAGTGTGAACACGGTGACCTAAGCCAAATCTTGGATGTTCTGGGTTTGATACTTGAAATGTTTTAGATAATTTAAATTGTGAGCACCTCTTTGTAAAAACTAGCCAGGAAAACAAAACATCAAAACCCACTCCTGATGCTTACTCCTATCCAAATCCAAACAGAGAATGTTCAGGTGAGTGAAACATTAGTGGGAACTGGAGTTTAGGCCCAGCTGAGTCTAAAGGTGTGTGCAACGCCAGCCTAACGTCCACGTCACTACTAGCCCATCACCCTGCAGGAAATCGGACTGGCAAGAAAAGCAAAGAGCCTTTTCTCCAGCATGAAGCTGGGACCAAAACAATTGGCCTTCCTCGATGAACTTCTGGTCTCTCATCAGTGGTGATCACTGATGATGCTCTAACTTTTTTTTAACCAGAAAAACAAGGTAAGTAACGGTAGCTTACAGGGCCTTGCAGCTTCGAGCGCGCCTGTTTTATCCTAATGACAGACTGATACAGATTAAATGCTTAGTAGAGATCTAGAAACTAATCTCATTTAAAAATCTCATCTGTCACATTAGGTATAAAATGTCACACCTTCCTATCCTCAAGCCATTCTAGAATATACAAATACACAAGGAATCTGTATTATATACATTTTGAGAGAATATAAAAAGCATAGTCGGGGACAGATTAAAGCCTCATAATAACAAGCCTCATGAGTAGCATGTAATAAAAGTCTGTCAATTAGGGAAGCCTGTGCGGCTCAGTCAGCTGGGTGGGCAGCTCTTGACTTCGGCTCGGTCATGATCTCGGGGTCCTGGGATGGAGCCCCACGTGGGGCTCTGCACTCTGGGGGCGTCTGCTGGGGATTTGCCCTCTGCCCCTCCCCCACTCACATGCGTGCTCATGTTAAATCTTTATTATTTTTTTTTAATTTTTATTTATTTATGATAGTCACACACAGAGAGAGAGAGAGAGGCAGAGACATAGGCAGACTCCATGCACCGGGAGCCCGATGTGGGATTCGATTCTGGGTCT